CTAGACTTCGCTAGGTTATTGGATGGACATGATAGAAGTGTTAAAACTTGACAATCTTTATGGAAGCATAGAACTTGACCATTTAACTTTAGACTTCATTAGGTAATTGAATGGACATGATGGAAGTGTTCAAACTTGATAATCTCTATGGAAGCATAGAGCTAGGGGGATGTTTTTGACGATGTATGAATTTATCTTTTTGGTGTAGTTACTGACACATTGTTTGATAATCTTTTTCTCGAATAGCTCTTATAGCTTATATACCTCGTTCAGTAAGGAGTTAATTATATGAATCATATATGAATTTACCTTTCTAGTGTGCTTACTGACACATGTCTATGTTTGAGTATCATTTTCTTTGTACTTAGTGGACTCATCTTGTTTTTCTGTAAAGAGCCAAATATTTTGTATTGCATGAAATATTTTTCCAAAATATTTGTATCATAACAAAGAAATATTGAACATATATTCATATCATATTTGATCATATAAGGTAATATTAAAATTATATCTATATTAAAATCATAAGGTTTAATCTATTATGATTTCTTTAAAATCACAACATCCACATCCTTTAATTTTGGTAATAAATGGTATATAAAACTACAAATATTTTTGAATTTGTAATATTAATATTCTCATGATGACAAATTGGCACTAGTGTAGAATGAGCTTTTTACGTTATCCAATCTTCATTGGACCAAAAAATAACCGACTTAAAAAAAATGCGGTGATATTTTTGTAAATAAGGGATGCTACTTTTAGGTCGGACCTCTTAGGAGCCGACGTAAAAGCTACTTTTTACATTGGGTGTTTTTTATATATTTGAGGTTAATGTTCTATGTCTCATATTTTATGTTCAGATTGAATCTGTGATTGTTTTTGGGTATCTCAATCACGTTATTGCATGAATCCATTGGATTGTTATTGAAATTGAATTGTTGTAGTTTGTGATTATCCGTTTATGCGTTTGAGTGAATTTATAGTTTATATATTACATTTTTATGATTTTGTTGTATGAATCCCACGTTTTTTGTTGTTTGTATGATGTAAAGAGAAGATATTACATTACGTTATATAGGGTTTAAGATTTTATAATGATGAAAAGAAAAGTAAGGTAAAGTTGTGGGTTGGAGAGACAATGTCCGAAGAAGGATAAGTTTTGACTCCCATCTCGGATTTGAACGCAACATATAAAAATAAGGGGAAAAAAGTGAAGAAGAGGGGGCAAATGCCCGCAGGGGATTTGTCCTAACCATTTTTGCAAAATATGCTCTTAAGCACATGTAATAGAGAAAAGTAGTGAAAAAGAGAAAAAATGTTATATATGATTAGGTATTAAGATATTTTTATTTTATTTTGAGAGAAGATATATTTTCACATATCAAAAATACACAAAACTCTAAAACTTTTCATCATATCTCCTCACATCCACTTGCTAGTCGATCTCCAACAGTCCATTAACAACAAATTTTAAAAAATGACTTATATAATTTTAAAAACTTTTAAAATTATATAATAGTAATGAATATCACCATCTTCCACCACGAGTGTTCCTCCTCCACCAACAACCATCATTGAGTTGATTTAGATGATGAGGACAACACTCCTCTAACCTGTCGTCTTACGAAACAAAGCCCGATACTCATTCTTTAAAATTACTCATCCTTTACTATATATGATTTTATATTTACCCTTACGACCACTATGTTTATAAAGAGGCATCACATTTTTATAAATTATATAATATTAAAAAAAGGATAAAATATACGTCGGACCGGACCATAAAAAACGTAAATTTATGTCGGATCTGGCCTTACCTGACATAAATTTACGTTTGGTGTGGCCTGATTCGACGTAAATTTTGTCCCATTTTTTTAATTTTTGAAACCCTTTTACGTCTGTTTCGTGTTTTTTTAGCGTAAATTGACATTTGTTTTAAACTGAACTAACATAAATTGACGTCATCTATTATGATCAACTTAAATTTATGTCTCTTGTATTAAGGTCAGACTCATATATGAAGCACCAAAATATCATACATAAAATGCTTATTTTGCACTAGTATGGGAATAATTTGTGATGCCTAATACATTTGGTATATAAATTTGTGATGACAAATTTAATAATACAATAATTGATAATATTATATATTATCAAAAAATGAATATTTTTTTTAATAAATATTTTTTTTTCATATGAAATAAAATTAATGATATTTATGAATCATGCAATCACACTTCGAATGCCTACTAAAGAAATAATAATAATAATAATAAAGAATCTATGAATAATAATAATAATAATATAATTTTTTCCTATGAAATGAAACTAATGATATTTATGAATCATGCAATCATGTGTACTGAATAAATAATAATAATAATATTATTATTAAAAAAAAACAAAATTTACGTCATACAAGATCATATCAGATGTAAATTTACGTCGACCTGACCACACCCTATGTAAATTTATGTTTGTTATGACTTGGTTTGACGTAAATGTTGTCCCATTTTTTTTATTTTCAAAATCCTTTTACATCTGTTTTGTGTTTTCTTCAAGCATAAATTGACATTGGTTTTAGACAAAATTGACCTAAATTGACGTAAGCTATTATGACCAATTTAAATTTGCGTCTCCTGTATTAACATCAGATTTGACGTAAAAAGCTTATTTTCCACTAGTGTGGGAATAATTTGTGGTGACTAATACATTTGGTATATAAATTTGTGATGACAAATTTACTAATACTGATAATATTATATATTATAAAACAATGAATATTTTTTCTTAATAAATATATATATTTTTATATAAAATTAAATTAATAATATTTATGCAATCACACTTTGCATGCCTACTGAAATAATAATAATAATAATAATAATAATAATAATAATAATAATTTATAATTTGTGTCTCAATATAATAATAAAGAGTGAGAAATACATAAAGAAAATTAAAAGTCAAGATATCTTGTATTTATGTATCTCATTGCATAAGATTCATAATAATAACATTATTATGTGAATATTTTAAGAAAATTATCTTAACTAAGATATTTAAATGATGATTTAAAAGTTAAGATCAAATATCATATTATTTATTAGTACAATATGAATAATTTATATATATATATATATATATATATATATATATATATATATATATATATATAATTATCAATCTTATTATAACCGTTCATAATTATAATTAGCACTCATATCTTCTTACTTTGTTTAATAGTGAACATTTGATATTTGTATTTTACTTCTACCATCATAACATACTTTTAACAAATATTAAAAATTTGAACTAGATATAGAATTATTTTCTTTCTATGTGAAAAAAAGTTCATTTTCTCATGTTAGAGGTTTCAAACAATTTAACATATAAAAAATTATCATGATTCTAGAATTAAGTTAAAAATATATATTGGAATACATCTTCATTTTCTAATAACAATTATTATTCTTTTAGTTTTAGAAAATTGATAGGATTATTTAAAAAAAAAAATCAAAGTCTCCCATTTATGTGAGTAGGAAAATTTTACCTACCCACGGTAGGTGTTAAATATTTTTATAAAAAATTTACAAGATATTCTAATACTTAAGTCAGCACAAGAAGAAAAAAGAATAATAATAAGAAGGAGGATGATTTCTAAATAATAAGTCTTTTATATATTTTAAATAGTAAATTATACCCGTTTAATAGTGATTATAATCAAATAATTGTGGATTGTTAACTTAATATGTATAATATTTTTGTTGTGCAATAAATATCATAAAGTTGAAAATATAAAATTATATATGAGAAGTGAAATTTTGACTACCAAGAAACATATAACCCCTCAAAATATCCCACTTTTATTAATATAATAATTATAAAATTATTTAATAAAAATGAAAATAAATTAAAATTATTATTATAATATTAAATGATGATTGTTTTTTTAGGATTGTATGAATTTTGGGTGTTAAAATATTATATATATATATATAATGATTATATTTATATATTAAAGAATAAATTTTAATAAATTTAGCTAAAATTCTTAATTTATACATAGATTTTAACAAATATATATATATATATATATATTTATAAGTTAATTATAATATAATAATTTCAAGTCTTCTATTCATTGAAAAGTTTATTCATATGATATTAAAGAAAAGGAAAAAAAGAAAAAAAGAAAGAAAGAAAGTTTGAATGTTCAAAGGACTAACATCGTTAATGGGAATCATGATCATTCGACAATTAACATGTATCTTTTCGTTTCTTTAATTATATATAATTAATATTTATATATAGTAAAAATATAGTATAATAATGGCTTTACTTGTTTTAAAATGATTATATTTTCATACATTAAATTATGAATGATAATAGTGTGAAATTATCATTATTATATATAAATATATATAGTCTATTTGAGTGAACAATTCATTTAAACTACTATATATTTGTTTCATTATTTTATGAGACTATCAATTTGAGTTAATCTAATAAATTTGTGTTATTGCTTTTAGTGTTCAAATTGTGAAATTTGTAATGTTTAGCTATGAAAATTATTCTAATTACATTATTTTAATTAGTATAATTATGCATTTTATAAATTAACACACCAGTTAAATCAATGATCTATTGACCCAATACATGAAGTCAATGAACAACACTAGTAGATGCTGGAAAGTAAATTGCTGTCATTATTTAATTAAAAAAGAGAGAAAGTTTTAATTAAAAATTAAAATACATTAAAAATATTAAAAAATATTTTTTTCTTTTTACATAAAAAAATAAATGCCTCTTTCTAATCGTTGAACATTGTACTAACCACAATAGTCATAAAAACAAATCAAATCTTCACTGGCTGCATCTTTTCAAGTTCTCACAAAACCACTCGTATCATAGCCGTAATATAAACCACCGTCATCCATTCAAATCCACCTTCGAAGCTTTACGTTTCGCTCTTCTCATTGTTTTTCTCATCAACAATGAGTGTAGGGGAAAGCCCCAATTCTGCATTCGAATTCCCCACTCTAATATGTAACTCACCGCTCCAACGCCACGTCGTTTTCTGCGGCAAAATCATCCATCGCCAACCCCAACCTTCTTCACGACACCCCTTCATGACGCGATCAAACTCTTACGAAAAATGGAAACCGGTTCGGCCCGCGGATCGAGGCCAACGGTGGGCCTCGTTGCAGTTCCCGGATACGGGGCATAGCCGGAAGTACGTGAACGGGCTGTTTGGGGTGGTCAAGTTTCCGGTGCAGATGGAGCTCAGCGACATCAGGAAGAGGCAGTCGGCGCAATCGGCGAGGTTGGCGGCGGCGGCCGATGGCGAGCCGCAAAAGGACGTGAGAAGTGGGTTGGAGTGGCAGCTTATTCGAACGCTGAGGCGCAAGAGCCGGCACTGGTTGAACGCGCTTGCCTTCGTCGTTTGATTTGTAATCACGTTTAATAATTTTCAGTTACAGAACTTTTTTTATTTTTTTAATGGCCTTTTCTACTGCTAAAAGCATAACTGTATTCCGTTTCGTAATCAGTGGTGTTATGAAAAGTTATACGTAGCCCATCATTCTTTTACCTATGACCTTATATTGTTAAATGGAGTTGTAAAAAAAATTGTATGTGAAGGTAATGTTCGTGGTGCTATTTTATATGCGAAGCTGGGATACACCAAGTTGAGTACGTATAACACATATAACTAAAAGTAATAATATAATAATAAATATTATCTATAACTATGTCATGTTTAAAAAAAAAAAAAAAAAGACCAACAAGAATTCTCTATTTCATTGCATAATATTGGAAGTATTGAAAGCAGTTCAGAATTAGAGAAATGGGAGGAAGAAAACAGTACAAATACTACACTTCCCCACTACGCTTACAAGTAACTCTATTTAAAACACATGTTAAAGTGATATAAATTTCTAGAAAAATAAAGAAAATTATTTCCTAAAAGATTTTTAAGAGAGGTGTCCTGTGTCTATAAACAGGTGATGACCTACTAATTTCTAAGTGAAACACTCAAGATCAATTACTATTTTATCTGGTATTAACTTTTTTTTCATACCTTAAATCAAATATTTTTATATATATAATATAATGCTTAATTTTTAAAAATTAAATTAAAATTATTTGATAAATATAAATAAAATTTATGTTTTTTTTCTTAATTTTTATTTATAATAAATATCATATTTATTTTTTTAAAACAATTTTCACTTATATTTTTTTTCTTTCTTCCTTCTATTTTCAGATTTTTATCTCCTCTCACCTTTTCATTTCCCAATCAATTTTTTCATTCAAACACACATTTTGTCTTTTCATATTTATATATTTTAACTTTATCATTTATTAACTTTCATATTTTTTCTCTTTCACATTTTTACTTTACAATATAAAATTTGTAAATTTTTCTCTTTAATTTATAAGTTTTTTTTTATAATTTCATCTCTATAACATAAAAATTATAATTTTTTTATTCTCTAATTTTTTTGTTTTAGGTATCAGAAAAGTATAAGCACACAACTAAGATAAAAAGATGAGAAAAATACCAAATAGACAAAAGAGTAATTTTACTAATGAAAGAAATTACAACCATTCTCTCTCTACTTTCAAGGAGGAAACAATAACACAATCTCTTGAAAATAAAGGGAAAATAACTCTAAGAGAACCTAAAAGGAGAAACTAATTTTCTCATTTATCTCTCAAGTACTAAAACAACAAGAAAAAGAAAAAGAAGTGATTTTGGTGTGTTTTACAAGGTAGACACTGTGTTCCTTTTATAATAAGAAAAGTAAGTACCAAACTAAGATTTCTCTGATGTGAGACTTTTCTTCTCACAATTTTCCACTTGAAATCAATTCTTCACACCATGCTTGCTTTATTCTTGTCATCCATGTTGCTTATTTTTCCGCTTGGCTGTAGTAGGATCGACTTCATACAAACTTGTCAACACTAATAAACTTTGTCATAACATCTGCTAGGTTCTCATCCGTGTGAATCTTTTGCATATCCATATTTCCTTCTTCCACTACTTCTCGAATAAAATGATATCTTATTCCTATGTGCTTTTGTTGGTATCGCACAACAGAATGTTTGCGTGTAGGGACAAAAATCAAGAGGGGGTGAATTGGTTTCTTATAAAAATTGGGGTTTTAAAATTTTTCCCAAATTTCACCAATTAAAATGCTTGTAAAGTAAAGAGATAAGGAAAAGAAGATTACACAAGTAATTTATACTGGTTCGGATCAAAAGACCCTACGTCCAGTTGTTAATCACTCTAAAAGAGGATTAACGCTATCACTATAATCACAGTTTAAAACAGATTACAAATTACAAAAGATAAGGATTAGAAAACACCTCTCTTGAGTCACACATGAGATGAACACCTGCTTTGAATCCACAAAGGGTGATGACAACTTTTCCTAGAGATGACACAACACACAACACACAATCCACTAAGAAACCCACTCAGTGATTCTTATCGCTTCTAGCCCACACTAGGTTTCAAAAGCCCCTTTTTCTTCCCTACACAAAGTTCTCTAGCAATCACAACTCTTAACTTTTGTATGAAAAAAGTTATTTTGTTTAGAGAGCCATGGAGAACCTTAAATAGAGAGATTTAGGGTATGGGGAATAGATTTTCGAAATAGGGAATAGATGCATCGAAAATAGGTCCAAAATTCGAATTTTAAAAACATAATAGACGCAGATAATCGATTATCATAAGTGATAATCGATTATCATAGAACAGTTTTCGCAGAGAGTGAATTTCGACAGGATAATCAATTATCCTCTGAGATAATCGATTATCACAGAACTTTCAGAAACCAAAATTAAGTGGGATAATCGATTATCAACCCAGATAATCGATCATTCTAGTGATATTTTCCAAAAACAAGTTTCAAGCAGGATAACCAATTATCCTAGGTGATAATTGATTATCACAAAGTGGTTTTGATAAAAATGAACTTTCAGAGGATGGACTATGTGCTGACTATCTTGAACTCTAATTTTACAGACTCAAAAAGACAAAACAAAGTTATTACAAGTAAATACAAATGATTATAAGTCTTCAAGTCTTTAAGTCTTTTGTTCTTGAATCATCATTAAAATCTTCAGGCATCATACTCTTGTATATTCAACAATCTCCCCCTTTTTGATGATGATGATCAAAATCTGCTTTAAAGCCTCTTTGTAATAACCTATTTTCTAACACAACTATCATAGAAAAAATATATTAAAACATACCGGTTTTAAAAATTTTCTCCCCCTATTTTATCATAATAAAAAAGAATAGAAGCTCCCCCTAAAGATATGCAGAAAAATAATTAACTCCCCTTGAATATATGCAAACAAAGATTATTATTTAAGACAAGTAAATATATATTATAGAAATAATAGACACACCCAAAAATTTACAAGAATTTAGAATTCTTCGCTCTCATCACTATTAAATTGGGCATCAAATCTCCCTTCTAAATTTGATACACGCTCATCTACATCAGAAATATGATTTAAAATTTCATGATGACGTTCAACAGAGATAGAGAAGAAATCTTGCATTCTTTGATTCATACTAAAGATCATGTCCTCAATGGAAGAGCGAGGTTCAGTATGAGCGCCAGATGAAGTTTCGGCGACAGGAATATCAGCAACAAGCATATCTTCATCATCAGAATCTGGAGCGACTTCAACCATATGAGGAGCATCATCTTTATGGACATAAATTCCATTAACATTAACCATCTGTAGCTGAGTGAGTGTGCTGTCAAACATTCAATTTGAGTTGAGCGTATGAGATCTTTGCTCACCTTCAAGATTAATACCCTTATATTCTAGAATGTGGGAGATTAAAAGAGCATAAGAAATCCGGAAGGTAGGATGTCGCTTGGCCTTGAGCATTGTTAACGTAACAAGACTAGGCCAATCAATTGGCTCATTGTTCATGATCACATGAATAATACGAAGATCTGCAATAGAACACTGAACATGATTTGTGGCTCAGAGACATAAGATCCACACAATAAGATGAAGTAGCAGACGTTCCTCTTTCTTTAGAGGACCAGCAAGAAGTTGTTTGCCAATCTCCATGGCAGGATTGCGAAGGAATGAGCGATATACCAGAATTCTGTTGAATTCGTCTAGATCCACTAGAACATTAACAACATCATCTCGAATTGGAAAGTGAGCTACGTTCTCCCATATATCATCATCAAGGATGATGGTTACACCCTTGACTCTGGAAGTAGCAATATGATCTTTATACTTAAAACGAGAATAGAATACCCGAACTAAATCCGGATAGTACGTACCCTGCATTTCAATAAAAGGAAAAACTCCTTGTTGCTCAAGAAGATTTGGAAATTGGAATCCCCTATCTATGAATTGATCTCCAATGAGGTATTTAGGAGTAATAATACCCCTTTCTTTCCAGAAATTTAGATACTCTTGCCTCCCTTCTTCATCTGAAATCCACCCTTCATTTGAGTTTGGGCGAGGTTGAGAAGCAGGAGCAGATCTTCTCCTAGTCGGGATCTTTCTTCGGGAAGATGAAGCCATTTAGAGTGAATAGAAAGCAGGAAAAGTGAAAGATTTGACGTTTGGAGAGAAACAAAAGTTTTGAGGGAGAAAAAAAAAACAAGAATAGGCTTTGAATCTATGCAAAACTTTTGAAGAGAAGCTTGGAAGTGTTTGAATTCGATTTTGAGTCCTCCTATATATTGGAAATACCTCTAACAGCTATAAACGGCTAGTTTCACAAGAACTAAAGCAAAAAAAGCCTTTGCCAATGACTATTTTATCTCCAACGACACAAAATAATCGATTATTTTCTAAGATAATCGATTATTTATTCAACTACTGCCCAAAAATATGCATGGATAACTGAGATAATCGATTATCCCTGAGAATTTTTACTGTATTTGTGCACTAAATTACAGATAATCGATTATTAGCCCAAATAATAAATTATTCTAGAGAGAATTTTTATGTATCACACATTTAAGCAACAATAATCGATTATCATCCCAAATAATCGATTATTCCAGAGAGGCATGCATAATTGAAGGTGAATGAGGTACAAAATAATCGATTATTTCCTTGGATAATCGATTATTCCAGCAATATATCATTTCATGAAAAATTTTCAAAGATAAGATATTTCTAATATCCCTAAATCTCTCCTAAGTTCATAAAATCTATCTTTGGGATGAGGTTTAGTAAAAATATCTACTAATTGATGCTTGGTATCAACATATTTAATTTTACAATTACCCTTACTAACATGATCTGTTAAGAAATGATGTCTAATTTCTATATGCTTAGTTCTAGAGTGCATAACAGGATTCTTAGTAAGGTTAATTGCTCTTGTATTATCACACATCAAAGGAATGTTATTTAGAAAAATATTATAATCTTCTAGTTGTTGCTTCAT